CGTTACCAAATTATTAAGTTAATGTACTCGTTCGACGCAAAATTTAACTTTATTTAATTCATTAAAGAGTAATTTTTTCGCTTTGATGCATTGCTGAGGAGTTATAGATGAAAAAACAAAAAAATATCTAAAAATCTTACTTTTTGGCTGTAAAACGTTCTCCCTTGGTGGCCGGCGTTAATAATTTTGCTTTTTATATGTCTAAACACGCACACATATATATATATATATATATATATATATATATATATATATATATATATATATATATATATAAGTTTAAAAAATGAAACCTTTTCTCGTTTCAATCATCAAGTTATTGGATTAATATTCTTTCAATTAGCCGCCATTTTTTAAAGCAGCGGCTCTGGATTGGCATAGAAGGTTCATTTTACTCAGAATACTATATACTTTCCCTGTATAGGCCCTGGTTCCAGTATAAGTACATTTTTGATGTATCCAAACTTTTAAATACGTTTTGGTAAATTTCGACCTTATTTATCCTCGATTCTTTATCTATCGATTTAAAATTATAGAAAATTCATCCATATGACAAATCCTATTTATAGTTAGTTATACTAATTATATAAAATATTTTGATGTAACAAAAAAAAAAAAAAAATATATATATCAAAGTAATGACAATGTGTGTAGGCACTGAATTTTTAAATCGATAGTATTTTCAAAAACTACGTCCCAGATAACATTATATTGGATATTAATGTTGGATAAATCGGGAAGTGATTTTTCTAATTCACAGATTGCACTGACCAACAAAATAAACGGAATGTTCCTAATCCTTATAAGATATTTCTTGCTGATTCAAAGTCAAGATAAACGAATACAGCGAGGATATTTTTCTATGGTATTTAATTCTATGATCTTTTATTTCTAATGTAATTAAATTATTAACGAGTAACGAATAATGAATTATTAACATCCGCCTGGATCTTCGTAAAAAGTTTCATCTCATCGTAACCTACAACTATTTTATTTATGAAAACTCTTGGATTTGGGACGTTTTCAATCTGGAGGAGAGCAAAGTTTGTCTATTTAATTAGGCGCTAAAAACTCGTAAATACCCATTTGCTTTCTACTTTGATCGTAAGATAATTAAGGTTTACTTGACTTAAAACATAGGCCTTAAATGGAAACAAAATATTGAGTATAACCAAAGTTATGAATATTTGAGTAATTTGTCTATAGATCTCTGTTAATGTTCATAATAAACATATGTTTATAGGTTAAAGAACATCTATATAAATCAAATAAAGATTTTGTCTATACATTGGATTGAATCAACCCCGTTTCATGATATCTTTTCGTTCATACATTACAGACACCAAATCTAGTTTTAAAACATTTATTTGTCTGTCTGTATGTCCGCATTGCAACGAAATTTTGTCAGGGGTAAGCTCAGCAATGGCATATTGTGGACTTTTGAAATTTTTACATTATATTAAGGTTTACTTGACTTAAAACATAGGCTTTAAATGAAAACAAAATATTGAATAGAACCAGAGTTATGAATTCTTGAGTAATTTGTCTAGAGATCCCGGTTCGGCAGTTACTTCGATTCTCATCCCAACCTACTCTATCGCGAGCCATATCTAACAGTTGAACTAATCAAATGATGGAAAAAATTATCACAATTCAACGGGAAAAATCTGAAATCACAAACATCTGTAACGCGTTGTCGCTTAAAACACACACATTTTTAAACTTTCTCCGATCTTCCAGTTCAAGGTGTTATGGTATCCAACTTCCAGAGCCTAACAAATGTTGTTGTATACATTTTTAGGATTAACCTAACGAATTAGCCGGAAATTGGAAGAAAATCTTATAAAAATTAAAATTACCTCTCTTCCCTCACTCAAAGTTATGAAATTAACCCCTCCCCCATAATACAATATCCATCTCAAAAAAAGATTCTCAAATTTTAACTATACACCCATCAACGATGGGTACATCAGCTCTAGTTTCGTAATAAACTCACAAATTAATTAATATGTACTGATTATTGGAATTCCCTAAAAAAAAAAAATCTTTAAAATCGGACAATTAGGAGGAAAGTCTTATGGTCTCTAGTTTTTTTCCCTGAAAAGGCGGAAATTTCGATAATTTAAAATATACTTTTTTAATCGTTGAGACTAAAAACACCTTTTTTTCTACAGATATTTAATAAAGTATCTTTCCTAAGAACATCTTTCATAAGAAATAATTACCTAAATGTATACCTTTATTCTCAGTTCTATATTTCAACACTGCAATCCCCACCTCCGAAATCAACTTACTCACTGTCTGCATAGATAACTTTTTCAACTAAAAATATCACTAAAATGACATTACTCAAAAATGTTGAGATTAGAGTTAGTCATTCTGTGGTTTATAAAAGCAAAGAAAGTTGTATGGTTTATAAAAGCAGATGGAATGATTAGATTTTTATTGCCTACCGTCGATATATTAAATAGACATTTTGTAATTTTAATGACTTGTTATCTGTAAGAATTAAGCTTTAGCTCCGTTTAAAATGCACTTCAAAAATTTTTATGCAGCATTGCCAGAAAATAATTTCTATTCAAAGTAGAGCGGCAAATGAAAGTTGTGTGTTGCGCGCACCAGATTTTTTTTTTAAAATGCCTATCATAGTGTGTTTCATACCTTCCTACTAACAGTTTTGCTAAGAGTAAGTTGAATATTTTCCCCTCCTTCCGAAGACAATATTTCCTAGGTACGTTCCTCTACCAAATCATCAACAACCATCGTCCTTCTTACGCCTACAACCTTCTCCAGTTCAAATCCTCAGTCCATTCCCTGTCCACAAGATCTCGACCTTCTAATCTTTACATGCCTTCTCACAGATCTGCCTCATTCCAAAATTCCTTTGTTGTTCGCTCTGTCAATTTCTGGAATTCCCTCCCTATCAAAAAATTCGACATTCCCCATCCATATCCAAATTCAAAATCCTCCTATTCCAATTCCTATCCCAAGAACAGTCAGATAGTTGCTAACCATTCGATTTTAATAGAGAATTTGATACATAAAAATTCATTGATTGATTCATTGATACATTTTTATTTTTTAATTCTTTATTATTTTCTTAAAAGTGTATACTAGTGCAAATAGCTTTAAGTGCCTTGTTATAGTATTAATTGTTTTGTATATAGTTTCGTTTTTTTTTTATATAGAATGTTTACCTTATATTTTTTTTACATTATTTCTTTTTTTCGACTGATTTTATTTTGGCCAGATGTGATCTTTTAATTTTGTTCTATTTTGTTATTCTCAAGGGACTGTGTCCCAGAATAAAATTATTTTTCTATCTATCTATCTATCTAATATTTATCTTATCTTATCTTTATAGTCAAATAAAAATTTAGTCTTTTTCTAATGCATGTCCATTACTGGTACCTACCTCCAGCCCATTACTAGAACAATTTAATTTCGGGATGTTCATTACTAGTATAAAAAGTTTTTGTTTTTTTTTTAAATGGAGATTATACCTGATTAAAAGAATATTTTTTCAATTTTAAAGTGTTAAATAGAAAAAGGAGACCCTAGAGATTCTAAATGTCCAACGGAGTAGTTTATAACTTTAACAATTACGGTGACATAAAAATAAGATCAAAAGTTATCTATAAAGGAAGGAGATGGTCCGGGGTTGCGGTCATAAATAGGCTAAATAGTGGTAAAACTATTTTATTGAAAGCCGACGTTTCGACCTGACTTTGTAGGTCTTCATCAGGGCTAGAACGGACAAGATACAAAAAGATAGAGAATTGTGGCAGTTACATAATATTTAGACATAATTTATAAACAATGTGAATAAGCTTATTAAAATTAAAAACACTAAGTACAATAAAATTTGGACAAAGTAAGCTGAGTAACAAGATCCTAAACTGAAGTAAATAGATGCTAACAATTGTTGTAGTGTAATATATAATAAATGAAAATGTGAATATACTTCTACAAAATCTACAGGAGATAAATAAAATTAGAGACTTACAGGTGTGTTCCTCTAGGAGTTTCACTTAGAACTGGAAAGGCAGCGGTAAGGATTGCAGGTATAGGGGAAGCTAACATGTGTTAACTGGGTAAACTTGGAAAAACCTAGGAAATTACAGTATCTAAAAATTTTTGAAGATATGGATGGATACAATGGAAAAATACTATATCATTGAAATATTAAATTATAAATATACATATAAAATAGAGTTAAGAGATTCTAGATCAGAGTACATTCTGAATAAACCCAAAATTGGCAAAAGTAAAATATAAATATAGAAATAACTTCATTTACATACATACTCAATAAAGCTAACTTAAAATTATAGAGAGGGAAAAAATTAATAATTATAATTATATTTGGTTGTACATATGTAAGAAAATTACATTTGAATATTAGATAATATTGAGAGTATTCCCGTTGAGAGTATATAATGCAACGGTCAACTATTAAATATTCAAAAGTTATCTATGTTCATCACTGGTCCGATTACCCTAAACCGTTTATTTCTATAATATTAGTAATCTCAGTCATTTATTTATTTAGCGATTATAGCAATAATAGTGCGGTAATTCTAAGGTGAAGAAACTGAGTAATTTGTATCCGGTTATTCTCCAATAACCAACATTCTTAATATTATACAGAATGACGTCAGAGAAGAAAGAGATATCGATATTAGTTGACATGGAGATATACAATTACCTCGCTGTCAATTCAAATTACAGTTATTGGTCTTCCTCAGGCTGTACTTCCAGGACTAATTGAAACGTCACAGGGCGACTATAGCTACAAAGAGATAAGCTCGCCGATAGTCAAATCTACTTCCACAACTACAAGCCGAATTATACTATCTTCTTCAAGTTTTTCCCAGTGACTTATCGAAGAGAAACAAATCTATTTGTTATTAAAGCTATCTCTTTGGACAGAGGTATTATTAATATAGTTCTCTGGAAGCGATAGGCACGCATGAGGTGAGGGCAGATAAAGGGGCTATATAAGAGTAGGCGCGGAGGCCACCAGCCACACTCGAAGTAGACGCCGCCATGTTGACATCAGCTGTACTCCTGTTCGTCGTGGCCCACGCTCTGGTCGAGGGCCGTCCCAACCCGGGAATACTCTTCCACGACGAGGAAGATCTGGGAGTCGGTGACCTCTTGGCCAGCTTCGGGGAGGCTCTCTTCTCCATACCCGACAACAAGACCGGCCTTGCTGTAGCCAAGTATGTGATTCTTCCTTTTTATTATATTATTAATTATATACTTAATAATATAATATAATAGTATTAATAATACTTAATATAATTATATTATTAATTATATACCATTATATTTTTAACGTTATAAATGTTACTAAAAATCTGTTATGCGATCATAACTTTTATACAATATTTTTTTTATTTCTTAATGACATTTACAACTGTATTACATAAATACATCTAGTAAATTTGGACATAATAAATATAATCACATGAATGCACTTGCTGAGTAACTACCCAATGGTGGCACTCTAATGATATGATTACATTAGGAGATCACGGGGCCATCTTATTTTCAGACGCCTCGGAGGGTTATCAGGAATTGAAGAGGAAGCAAGGCTAGAAACGAGAGGGTTGGGATGATTCTGAAGTTTATTATGGAAGTATAGGTATCTGGATTGGGCCAGATCTGAAACATAAGGAACATTAAGATCTTTATGGATAATTTTATTAGTGACAAAGTAAGGAGCATTGAGGATTTTATGAAGGATTTTGGATTGTAAGGATTGGATGCTAGAGGAATTCGATGGTTTAGTGGAGCCCCATAGCTCAACTCCGTAAGTCCAAATAGGTCTTATTATAGTCAAGTATATGAGTCTTTTGTATTATACAATATTAATTATTAATTGTGGGTAAATGGTTGACTGTCGTGAATAATGAAGAGAAGAATAGTTGGGGTGATCAGTCAGAAATAAGAAGGCAAAAATAAATGATAATATTTATTTTGACATTTGCTGACGTTTCGTCCTGAAGTTCAGGCCTTCATCAGGGCTAAGAAAAGAACCAGATAACAAACTATGAGAAACATGAGTAGGTAAAAAAAAAATTAAAGTAAAATGAAGTTGTTAGAATAATGACAATAGTAAGAACTAAGAGATAAATGATAATAACCGTTACAAAGTGTGGAATGATGCAGTGAACATAACCAAAAACAAAACATTGTTTTTCTTTTTCCTCTTTCTTATTTCAGCCTTCTCGGTTTTTTTCCTCCTTCCTTTCATTCCTTTACTCTGTTTCAACTCTTTATTATATCATACGTTATCAATACATTTTGATAGACTTTACAATATCTCAATTTTCAATCTAACTGTTCTATTTGCAATATCTTAATTTTACTATTTATTTTCATTTCTTATATAAATTCATATTTTTTTTTCTGTTTTACATTTTATTCTAAGATTCCCATTTTAATACTTATGTCACCTTTTTTTATTATGATTACTTCATCATTCCACACTTTGTAACGGTTATTATTATTTATCTCTTAGTCCTTATTATTGTGATTATTCTACCTACTTCATTTTACTTTAATTTTTTTTTACCTACAATACTCATGTTTCTCATACCTTGTTATCTGGTTCTTTTCTTAGCCCTGATGAAGGCCTGAACTTCAGGTCGAAACGTCGGCAAATGTCAAAATAAATATTATCATTTATTTTTGCCTTCTTATTTCTGACTGATCACTCCAACTATTCTTCTCTTCAATATTAATTATTTATTGAATAGAAGTTGGTTGGGGTGTTTCGGTCAATGAAGGTATGCTTAATGAATGAGTATTACTCAATGAAAGTAAATTTTGTATCTCTTAATATTCCATTTTATTTCTTTGCCATTTTATTATTGTTTACTCCATCACTTCATTATCTCTTTCTTATAAGTTCCTAAGTCCATAGTAGTCATATATGTAGGGGGGGAATACGAATGAGATAGAAGATGAAATGAAGAGTATGTCATAGGCGAGAAATGGTTATTATTTTTTATACTATATATATAATATTTATTTTATACTATTATAATAATGTAATATAACTTTTATTTTAAAATATTATATAATATTTAAAAATCGCTGAAAGCTCGATTCCATCTCAAAACTTAAAAACTACTAGGCACGGAACCAAAAAACACCAATAGGATTTTATTTTCCCTTGAAAATTAACATGAACTAGAAACTGACGATGGAGCACATTATTATTATTTTTAAGGTAATTACAAATTTATTTTCTAGGTATATAAAATCCAGAACAACATCTTGCTTTGAGATTAATTGTTGGGTGTCAGCCATAGTATGTAATTACAAATGTACAAATGTAATTACAAATTTATTGTAACAACAAAATTCTGACATGTAATGTAACGTGGACTATATTTTAACTCAAAACATTTTTTAGCCTTGCATCCACAAGATTATTGGGATTGTGGTTCTGAAGATGGGAGTAAATATCCCGAAACGTAAACTTGTTAACATGCAACTTTGATAATACAAGAAATATATTCAATTGTTGCTAATTGGAAGTGATTATTGCCAAATAACTAAGAACACCAATAGGAAATTACTTGAAGCCATACACATCACAAAAAATAATAGAACAACAGTAAATTATAAAACAGACACTAAACATTTATGCTGACATATTAAACAAAATTAAAATTTAATAAAAATGAAATTGCAGATACATAAAAAATAAACATTAACAACAATAGTATAAAAATAAACAGTCATATCCAAAGGTCAATTGTATTCACTATGGCAGACACCCAATAATTAGTCTAAAAGCAAGATGTTGCTCTAGATGTTATATACCTAGATTTATTATAACATGAATTAGAAACTGACGATGGAGCACATTAGTTTAAGGTAATTACAAATTTATTGTAACAACCAATTCTGACATGTATTGTAACATGCACTATATTTTAACTCAAAATTTTTTAGCCATGTATCCACAAGATCATTGGGATTGTGGTTCTGAAGATGGGAGTAAATATCCCGAAACGTAAACTTGTAAACATGCAATTTTGATAATACAACAAATAAATTCAATTGTTGTTAATTGGAAGTAATCATTGCCAAATAACAAACAAATAAAAAGTATTATTAAAATGTAAAAATACTATAACATTTTCATTATTTTTAATTTCCCTGATTAACTTGGAAACAAAAAACGCTCCGTACGATTTATATTCTGATAGATTTGATAATTAACTTTGATACAATAGAGGAGAGAAAAAATTATTTGGATTTATTCATTTCGTTGTTTTCTTTATTTAAATAGAATCAATAACATGGATGAGAATTTTCAATTCGTTTGCGAGTGTTGAAAATCGATTTTGTTTGTTACAAATGTTAATACTATTTATAAAACAATATAAAATGTTTATTTTCATATTTATATACAAATAAAGCTTATTATTATTATTATTAAATCTGCGAAAGTTTTAGTTCGATATTAATGTCGTAACAAATTTATTTTTAGTAATTATCTTCCACAAGAAATTTCAATTATTTTTTTAATATAGTGAAGGGTAATTTGGGACTATAAAATTTCCTATGAGTATCTGTAGTGTTTTTAGCCCACTAGATCAATCATAACGCAATCTTCCCACCTTCGCTTCGGTCTACCCCTCGGACGTTTACCAGTCGCCACAGCAAATATTAACATCTCTGGGATTCTTTCGTTACCAAGGTTACCAAGCACGAATAGCCAACTTCTGCCAAGTAAGGTCGGTATAGCTTCCCCACCATTTTCATTGAATAAAAATTATTTAAATTACAAGGTCTAAATATTTTCGTATCAGAGTAATCCCTCAACATATACGGGTTTAATAGCTACGGGTTTTGTTCATCAGCAAATACTAAAAACGCGGAAGAGTTACGCATTTGAAGATTATATATTTGTTGATTCTCGATTAAAATAAATTCCAATGCATACTGAAAATTCATATCACTACTGTTATATGAGGTGTCGTATGTAAAAATCAAGTGTTTTACACGAGATCATAAAAACTAATTCTTTCTACATGATTTATTAGTATAATTTCATATTTTATTGCCCACAGCTATTTCCTATCGTAGCAGACTGCTTATATCAGTTGCAGATTACAAAATATCACCTTTTTCACAAATAGAATAAAAATTGAAAATTTTGACATAACATTTTTGCATTAACAGTAGTGATATATTCTTAATAGCTATGTTTTCATTCGTAAAATAGCAAATAAAAAATGGAACGAAAAATTCAACTTTTTATTTGTCAGGAGTTATCGAGACCAATAATTTTCTTATTGTCATTAAGTATATTTATCGGATACAGTTCATTTCATACTGCCTATATGAAAACTGTATTCTTAGTTAATATTAAAAATTATAAATAAAAATTAATACAATCTAGTTCTTTATTTTGGACTATATTTTTTAATTTTAAAAATTTATTTAATGAATTCTACTTACGCTGACGATACAACAATTTTAACAAAACATCACGACCCCAGACTCACTGAGTTTATAAAGTCATTTACTACAATTATAAAATTGATATTCACTTTTTAAAATTTGATTAAATCATGACAAATGACAACATATAACATTTACACTTCGACGAGAAACATGCCGACCTGTTTATATCGGCGACAACCAAATCTCTGAGACGGACACTGTATGTTATCTCGGACTAATATTCGGCAGAAGGATGACCTGGGGCCCACGAGTCAAAATGGAACGAAAGGCTTTGAACAAGCGACTGAAAATACTATACTCACTTTTTTCCAAATCAAAACTGAAAATCAGACAAAAATTAAACACATACACTTACCTACTTAAATCCATATGGACATACACCTCAAAAATTTACGGCTCTGCAAAAAAGAGGCACTTACAAAAAGTACAATCATTTCAATCAAAAATTTTAAGACTAATAACATTAGCTCCTTGGTACGTATACAACAAAACTTTACATAACGAATTACGACAACTAACTATCGACCAACACATACGTGATCTCTAGCCCAGATTTCATCTTAAACTACACGGACATCACAACGGACTTATTAACGACATGGTCACAACTGACATGCCCTATCAGGAGACGACTGAAGAGGAGCTGGATGAGAGATCTGCTTTCCTGATTTTAGGATATAAACAGGCCAGGGAAGAGGTGCTGCTGGGTACTCCTTTTCCTCATGCCTAA